GGCAAAGCACAACTTTCCTCCGCTTCTCCCCCCGGGGCCGGACTCCTGCTGCCGCCCCCGACGCCACCGCCGCTGCTGCTGCTGCTGCTCTTCCCGCTGCTGCTCTTCTCTCGGCTCTGTGGTAGGTGGACCTCGGCTGCCGGCGCGGGCTGAGGGAGGCGCGACCGGGGTCCTGGCGCCGCGGCGGGGCCGGCACGGGCCGCTCCCCAAGGCGGCGAGTCGGTTGTGCTCGGCGGTTGGCTGCACGAGCGGGTGCCGCGGACTTTGGCTGGAAACTTTTCGCCGCGCCCGGGGCGAGGCCAGGGACTGGCCGGGGCCCACTCCCCTCCCCCGCGGCCTCGCGGCTTGCCGAACTGATGGTCGGGGCTCGACGAAGGGGCTTTTCCCTCCAGTTTCCCTCCAGCGCCTAGTGTTTGGTGTCCGCGGGCTTCTTTGAGTTTCCTCGGGGGACCGTTACTTCCTTACTCATTTGCGGCGGAAACCGAGCGGGAGGACTGCTGAGCTGGGGCTGAGATTCGGGGTTGCATGTTTGCCGCCTCTCCCTGCCCCCCACCCCGTAGTGCAACTTGAGCTCTGATCCGAGATACCCTTAGGGACCAGCGCCCGACCGAATGAAGCCTTCGGGTTCATCCCTCTGGCCTTCCACCCTGGAGAAGGCACCAGGTTACCCCACCCTGCAGCATCCCCTACTGTCCGTTTTCTTCGGTCCTCCGACCCCTTTCTGCCCGGCAGCCTCAGGGTCGCTTTGCGTTGAGTCCACCGCTGCCTTCCAGTTTGTGGGACGCCTTCTCACTGTCCGCGATTATGTTAGCAAGCAGAGTTAGTTGTTTGCACTACGGTTTTTGTGTTAAACGCCTAGTTGCACTTCCGTGGTCTTCTCTTTAACATCCATGCTTTTCCCCATCTTCCCTCATAAGTGTGTTACAGTTTTCTTGTCATATTTGGGAGGTTGTCTCTTTGTAAGTTCTCTTCTAGCCTTTTTTAGTCAGGGTAGTGAAAAAATCTGCTTTCATGCAGGCGAGGTGGACGAAAGTGATTATTAATGGACGGTGATAATTTGGGAAAATAAGACCCTCTTTGAAATATTGCAGGGCATTATTCACTCGAGAAAGGGCTGTTGGTGAGAAAGGTGGAGGAGCAAAACTTAAATCTTGTACAAACGTTGGTTTACCTAAGGTGTTTTTACTGATGTTTTTACGTAAGGCTGAATTTCACTGTCCCTTGAAATCTTAAACCAGAAGTTTTACCTGTATTTATCAAAGGAGAGATGGATGCAGATGTTTTGCGTAGTGTGATTTAGAAAAGAGAATTCCGTTATGGGTAGCTATGTCAATGTGATTGGTTATCAGGGAAGCAAAGTTTTCAGGAGATTGAGTGCCCCTTATAGGTTGAGAATTTTCACTACTAGTTCACCACCACCTTGCAAGCATTTGTAATGAGTTTCTTCTGATTTACAGTGTGAGAAATGGCATGTTATCTAATTTACATTGTTTTTGTAGCCCCACTTCCCAGATGTTTGGTTCCAAGACATAATTCTTAATGGTTATTTTCCATTAGGATTGTGGATTACAATTTGTTGGGAGAAACGTTGGAGAGGTGTTAGTAGCTTACTAGCCTTAGTTTGTGGTAAGGACTGAGAAAATATTACTTGTAGTTCGTAAGGCTTATCTAGCTAGGCAAAAAAGCCTTTTAGAAGACTTAAGCTAGGTACAGCAGATACTGGGAGATAGAATTTGGTGATAACTTCACAGTAATTGTGCAGGTGAAGTGTTGATTACTTTTTGAAGGAACAGATTGATTTTCACATGGAAGAAGTTTTTTTTTTTTTTTTAAAGTAGTCATATGTTGTAGGGGAGGGTCTTGAGTTATTAAGAGTCCTAAAAATTCAAACAGTATAAGCAAATGGACCGTGCTGTGGAGGAGGTGTAAATTGAAGTTTTTAGAGTTGTCTCTGCCTGCAGTTGCAGAGACACAAGCACTAGCTTTGTGATAACGGTGCACTGCTCATTTGAAGAGCTTCCTTTTTTGGCTTGTAGTGTTATAACACCCTGATTTGTGAGTGCTTGTGTGCTTGTGACAAGTTTTTTTTTTTCATCAATCTTTCTCTATTTTAGAATTCAGACTGGAGTTGTGACTTAATGGATGCATAGTAAATATGGAAACAGAATTTTCTTCATGTAACTTTGTTGATCTAACATTCGCAGTACTACCTTCTTTCAGAGTTTGGCATACTCATTTGAATAGCTTAAAAGTTGAAAAGATTTTTAGAGATGACTACCAGATGATTTGTTAATCAGAACACTTGTTTTATCACAGATTTCTTCATGAGGCTGGTTTTGAAATACTACGTACATTTAGCATAACCTTACTTAAGCTCAACTTTTGCAGTCTCATCCATTGCTTAAGATAATTTTTATGTTTGTTGATATGACTGCTAAAAAATGCTCTCAACTAATAGACTTGATATTTCGAAAGCTATACAGAATACTTAAGATTTACTGTTTCGAGTGAATTCACTCTATGTCTTATTTGAAGAATTGAACTGTTAAAATGAGAATCTTACAGGTTGACGAATTGCCAGTTTCTCTTTTTTTAAGTCTAAGAAATATCTAGGTATAAAAGTCAAGGGTGCTAGATTTACATTAACATCCAACTTAATTATCGTTCTACAGTTCTTTCTTTCTGAGACAATCTACTTATCAGTGTTTGGCTTTATCTTATCTCTTCATCCAATACTTTTTTGAGAGATGTAGAATATTAGCAGGTATTCATATGGTATTGATGAAAGAGAATATAGATTGATTTACCTTTGAAAATTGCCATTTGAGTTTAAGATTCTCTGCTTTTTTAGCAAGGTTTTATGTTAAGGTAGATGTTGAGAAGATGAAGGAAATAGAAGATCTAGCATGATACTGAACCTTTAATGGAACTTTCAATTAGTGATAACTTGATAGGCACTTGTGGACATAAAACACAAATAATGCCCAGGAACTTACTGAGATGAAACATTTTGGTGGTTGGTACAAGTCCTTTGTTTCTCTGTGTAGTTTTGCATTTCAGATACTAAGTAGGTAGCTTGAGTCTATAAAAAAAAAGCTGCCATTTAGTAGCTGTGTGAATTGTTGGTAAGTTCCTAAACTTCATTCAACTTAAGGTGTCTTATCCTTTAAAAAAGGATATGTTATCACTTTGCTTATACAGTTCTTTTAAAGATTAAATAAAAGGATAAAATATCAACACTTAAAGTGCATTTAGTATAGTAAACATTCAAATGTTAAAATTTATTGTATTTCATGTTATAAATCAACCATCCTGGTAACCAGCATTTTATTCTTAAATTCTACACTGATGTTTTATTATTATTTTTAAAGATTTATTTATTTATGCACATAAGAACTCGGGGTGTACAAGCCAAAGGTGTGGGGGTCAGAGGGTTCACCAGAGACAGTGGGGGGTTCACCAGAGACAGTGGGGAGCAGAACAGGTGGATCTACTGAAATGCACTGCTGAGGAGAGCAGTGGACAAGAAAGTAGAGGTCTGCTGTACCAACTGGGTCACCTCCCTGGCTGGGAATCAAACTTGTACTGCAGTGGCTGCTGATGGCTTCATAGTGCCATGCTTCTCTAGGGAGGCTCCTACACTGATGTTTTAAATCATTACATTTTCAAGGTAATTGACTTGTATGCATTTCTGTTTTTTTTTTGTATCTAGCCCAGTCAATGATCTTTAAATATTTTTCAGCTTTACTTCAGATAAATAGATGGCCAGTTTTTAGAATACAATGAAATTAACTATGTAATTGTGTGAAACCTAGTTGAATCTTCCCTTTATAGGACAGTATGCATTTTAGGATGCATACTGGCAGTTCCTGAGGTGAGAGTACTAGTGATTAAATTCAAACTGTGGAGATAGAGGGGAACCACACTTTTGCTTCTGCATTTGTGTCAAGTTACTGGTAGCATCAATTTAGAGCTTGTCCATACTATCTATATTGCCTACATGAATCTTTCTGTTGGAAAGTGAATCAAATTTAAAAACTGGCAGGAATAGAAATTGGAAAAAGCTGGACAGTTACAGATTTGTGTTTGTATATTTACTGTCTTTTTAAATGTCATGTAAACATGCATATAGTATACAAACTTTAGTGACTCAGCAACTTTGATACATTTGTCTGTATAGTTAAGGACTAAAACATGACTTCTAGCCTATTATGGGGAAATTACTGAAAAGAAGCCAACTGCAATATCCTTGTTTAAAAAAGACTTTGACATTCAGTAATTTACTTTTTTAAAATAGTAACATATTGTTATAGCATATTCTGTAACCTGTTAAAGTCTTCATAAACAATAAGGACTACATAGCTCGCAAAACTATATATGTGGCATTTAACTAATGGTTATTTATGCACAAATGTAGGGTAAAAGAAAATAACCCTAAATTAATAATAGAATAAATACTAGAAATGATTTTGTGTGCTAAGACTTCAGATCCAGAAACCTGAACACCAGCATTAATATCTTCTTTTGACTACCTTTTGTATTTTTATCTCAAACTGTCTTTAAAGTGTTTCCTGAATGCTGTAAAATTTTAAGATTTTTATTTCTATAATAGACTGATATAGTTTAATCACTTAAAGTTTGTTGTGAATCGTTATCAAGGGTAAGCTTAAATTTTTTTCCTAAATAATTCCACTACTATAATAGAAGTCATTAATTTAAAATTCTAGTGGGAGCTGCCTCCTTTGAATAGCTACCATCACATTCCCCTAGTTGTTTAGAAAGGATATTGTATTACATATACATTTTGCATGTTGTCAGTTTTATATTCCCTTAAATACAACATCCAGGGAGATTGTTTTTCTTGAAACTTTATTGATTGTCCAATATTTGTTGTGCTAACTCAGATGATAGGAAAGGGTTACCTGTTGCATTGTGAGCATATATTCATAAATTGGAATTTGAGGCATGCGTAAAAACATCAGCTCTGAACTGGCTTAAGAACTGACAGTATGTTTTTCAACACTTCAGATGATTATATTCTAGGTATAAAATAGGAAGTTTTGTATGTGACCCTGAGGATAGGAGAGGTGATAATATTTAATAATATTTAACAACAAAAAA